GGGGGGAGGGGAGGAAAGGAGTGGAAGTCAGAGGTGAAGGAGAGAGGGGAATGGAGGGAAAGAAGAGGGGGAAGAGAAGAAGAGGATAGGCAGACGAACTTGTAGGGGAGAGAGAAAGGGAGAAAAGGAGGAGAGAAAAGGGCAAAGTGCATCCATCACCCACCTACGTAGTCGCCGAGAAATAGGTAATTAGTGTCCGGCGCCTTGCCCCCAATGCGGAACAGCTCTATCAAGTCGTGAAATTGACCATGAATATCACCACACACCGTGACAGGGCAACTAACGGGCTGCACATTCGCCTCCTCCAACAACACCTCCTTCGCCTTCTCGCAGAGCTGTTTCACTTGCATTTCGGGTAAGGGTTTGCATTCCAGCAACTGGTCCAACTGCCGATCCAAGTCCGCATAAGGGTTCATCTTCGAAGCAATGGCTAATCAATCAAGCGATTGAACTATCTTGCAGCAGAAGAAGTCCAATCAGTGCACGGCCAATCAATCAGTGCACGCCGAAGTGTGTCGATCAACTAAGAAGCGACTAGCATCAACTAAGCAGCGACTAGACTACCAATCAACCGAGTGATTGCACATAGCAGTCAAAGCAACCAATCAATCGATTTATCGATCAAGAAGCCGATGAATTGATTGATCACACGATCAGCCAATCGATGCGATGAATCAAGGAAGCAATCAATCATCAATCAGATGGGGCAAAACTCAACACAGAGAGAAGACGGAGAGCGCACGCGGTGAGGTAGAGGAAGGACAGGAAGAAGGAAGAGAGAGGGAAGAAGGATCAAGAGATAGAAAAGGATGGTATCATAAGATGCACACAGGGCGCGCAGATGGGAAGAAGAGGAACAACCTCCCAGACGAGGCCGTACTTGTTCGCCTCGACTGTGAACTCGGCGCGCATTGAGGAGGAAGATTGCCTAAGACACGACGAACGGGACATTCCGCCACCAACCAGAAAACTGTCCCACAACTCTCTCTCTCTCTCTCTCTCTCTCTCTCTCTCTCTCTCTCTCTCTCTCTCTCTCTCTCTCTCTCTGTGTGTGTGTGTGTGTGTGTGT